GTTGGCCTGGAACGGAGGTGTCCACATTAACCGGACTCCACTGTATTGTCAAATTATTTTTCAATTTTTATTTTTTCGAAATTAACGTTGTACAGATAGTGCCGTACCTGCGCTGAAAAATATAAATTCCAAATTCCAAATTCCAAAACTACTTCGAACTACGTTGATTGTTAAAAAAGTAATAGAAATGTAAAAGGGATAATATGGGAATGTGCGGTACAGATTGACAAAAATCCGGATAGTCTTCTTCAGCAGTAATTAGGTATAGGAAGTACAAAGATAAAATGGAAAAGATCAAGGGCCAACATGAGACAACAGCACAGTCATTCTTCTTGCTATCATTAGTTCATTCAGGGTTTTTTTTAACACTTTCAGCATTAAAATATGTAAAACAATTTGCTTAACGACTGAGTTCAGTAAATTTTTAATCGGAGTATAGCCATAGCGGTCTATACTGACCCATGGGTCTCATCCTAAATATACTTGGTCCCCGGAATACCACCTCAGGACCTAGGATAAGCCGACTCTCCAATTAATTAAAGGATATTTTGGCTAATTAGAAGTCTAACAGCGAAGGCAGAAATATGAATGTGGTGTGTAAATTGTGTTCTTTGTGGTCGTGAACGGTTTGGCCTAGAAGGCTTCATTTCCAGGCCTCAAATGTATATTTTTAATGTGCACCATCTTTATAAATTCCAAACAGTACTTACCGACTTCTTTAGTGTATCATTTCAGCAAACAATTATACGCTGTAAACCCGTTTTGTTTTCGTTCGCCAAAGCTACTTAATGACAGAAGCAAGCTTTTCCCCAATTTTTTTTCATTTAGCATTGCTGACTAGAGTGTTCATGACGCCCTATTTACATCGATTGATTGTGTTGTATTCAACACAATCAACCGACTATAGTCGCCAGTTCTCATGGATGTTATGGCAGTTTCTGAGGCATGCAGGGGAAAATATGTAAATGGTGAAATTTCTTAGGTCTCTGTTTGCTAAACCTAATGTTTAAGGCGTTTTTTGAGAACTATTGTTAGAGAAGCTGCGATGGACATCTATATGTTGCTTTTTGAGTCGCTTTGGCGTAAGAATCTGGAGGATATCGAAATTGACGCATCCTGCCCTGATAGACATGACCATGTGGTGAACGTCTTGCACGTTTATGCCCTTTCCGTTTTAGAGATCCCCGTAGTTAGGAGTCTGATTGTGTTTCATGTGTTTCTTTTTTGAGCGCCATCAAAAGTACAACAAAATACGTGCGGATGCGCCAAATAAATTAATAACACATCTACGAAGCCGGCATGGTTTTGAACATGAACTAGCGTTTCATTCCCAACAAGAATGATGTCAGTCCTTGTCCTTTTCCGTAAAACTGAAAACCAGTTCTGTCAGAAGGCAAACGAACGTCTGGTGCCCACTTGCAGTGTCATTATACGGGTTAAATGAGCTCTAGAACTGCTGACGTGTCCGACGGTTGGTTATTTTACGATTATATCGACCAAGACGGTCTTGATCAGAGTATCATTAATGGAAGCCAATTTTTCGTTAACAACGGAACTGGATCAACGGCGAACCGCACAGTAGGTTAATAAACTCAACGAAGGCTATGTTTTCGCGTAGTCAGCAGGTCACAACGAGATGATACCATAAGTTTTTGACCGAGACTGGTTGTCGTATATTTAAATTTACTGCACAATAATTATGCCCATACTTATTTCTACATCCTATTTGTGTCACATCCACCGATGCCTGCATTAACTCGTTTATTTGTTTGGACAAACTAATTCACACCGCTTTTGTACGATTCATTGTTTACTTATACAACATCACCCTTATTGCCACTATACGCAAAAGGACTGTTTAGCTTCGAAGTTCCCTAATAGCAATTCGATCCGAATTCCTAGCAGACTCCAAGCGGACAATTCGACAAGTCGAAGCAGATTCCTTCTTCGAATTGACACGCATGTCGAGCAATATTCGTAGCTGGACATTTCGAAAATGTCGAGTTTCATTTTTTAGCCGGACAGGGGGTACCTCATCGCTCGCGAAAACTCCCCTAAAACGAAACCCCATAGAAGTAGACTTTTTTGAAGACGGCTGGTATTAATAATAGTGTATTACTTGTAAAATAATATGTTAAAAATGATATTGTACAAAAATAATTGTAAATCTTCTGAAAATGCTGGTGCTTGATTGAAAAAAAATCTGGAAAACAGAATCGCATTATAAGAAGAGGGAAAAATGTAATATTCGTAGCAAATGGCTGCGATGTAAAAAATATCAGTCCTCAAAAAGGGAGGCTGCTAGGTAAACGAATCGTAAAGAAAACTGATGCGATGTAAAAAATATCAGTCCTCAAAAACGGAGGCTGCTTGGTGTTAAAAAAATAATGGGTGATAGGATTAGGAGTCCCCAAATGAAACTATGAGGGGCATAGAATTGAAAAGGGCATTCCCTGCCGACGGTCCGGGAGGTCCGTCCTCATCTCTCCTATCCCTTCGGCGTTCACTGTCATTATCTGAAAACAAGAGAGTGGACAGTGAGTACATTGAAAAAGTTGGTTAATGTTTAAATAGTAATATTTAAGGTTTACTCACCGGCCGGCTGGGTGTGCGCCACTGTGCGTAACAGCCTTTTCTTTCTTCTGACCGAGGCCCGCTTCAGGGCTCTCATGAAGGCGCTGTGTCGGTCTTCCGCGTTCCCATGGTTGGCAACGCACCAAAGTTCAAAGGCCTCTGTGAAGATCATTGTCATAGATGTGATCTTAGCTTACCGGACACGATTCGAAATAACGACGACCTAACGAAGGCGCGCTTATGTTCACTGCGCCCAGTGAAAGTCATCACAGCTGTGATTCCATCGTCAAACAGGGACCTTATGACCCTGTC